CTCCTGGTATGTTAAATAAGGATTCATCACTCCTCGGGGTTTGGCTAGTCAACACTGTATAAAGTCGCCACTCTTCTTCCTTTGGTACGGACAATGTCATAATACCTGAGGGTCCATTAAACTTTAAGGATGTTGTTCCATTTGGTACGAACGTAATCTGCGCTTGTAATTTGGATAGCATATCACGTCCCAGCAATTGGACTGGACACTCAGGCATATAAAGGAATTGATGTTTTACTACGTGGCCTCCCAATGTGCAGAGTCGACTTTTAAGAACCGGTTTTTCAGCACTTCTTCCAGTTGCTCCTATTACAGTAATAGTTCTTCCAGATGGAGGAGCAACTTGATTAGTCACCACTGAATGTTCAGCACCAGTGTCGATCATGAACGCACTCCTTTTTCCCCCTATTGATACATCGACCATAGGCTCCGCTCGACCAAGGGGGATGGAGCCCAGTCGGTATCAATAGTCCTCCATGACCGTGTCAGCCAATCCCACAAAGTCCCTACCTTCTCTATCGCGGGACCTTTGCGCTGCTGGATAGTACCTATCTTCCCTTACACTTCCTCTGTTCCCATTACTCCCTCTATTACCATTATTCCCTCCGGGGCCTCCTCTACCTCTCGCTCTGCCTCTAAAGTTTCCGTATCCTGCCCTGGGTAAGTCTCTCTCATACTGCTCTCTTTGCGGACACTCGTTCCTCCAATGCCCTTCTTCCTTACAGTACGCGCACTGATTCCTACTCAAAGGCTCCCTATTCCATCTACCATCGCCTCTATCTGGGCCCGTCTATCTACGCCTGCGATCGCTACCGCTAGCATATCTGCCTTTCTACGCATCTTGCGCTCTTCCTCTTTCTTACTTTCTGTTTCCCTATTCATATATACTTTGTTCGCTACCTCCATTAGTTGGGTGATAGACATGCCTGCAAACCCTTCTAATTTCTGTAGCTTGCGCTTAATATCTCCGTAAGCTTGGCTGACAAAGGCGGAGTTTACCATTCGGGAATTATCAGCGTCTTCCGGATTAAAGGGGGTATACAAGCGGTATGCCTCCAATAATCGGTCATAAAAGACACTGGGCGCTTCATCACTTTTCTGAATCACCTCAACTATCTTCGACATGTTAATAGCTTTCTTCCCTCCGGCTTTCATGCCAGCAATTATAGCATCTCTATAGGCTTTAAGTTGAGCCATATCTGCGCCATTTACATTCCAGTCAGGATCGGTGTTAGGATAATGTGTTGCGGCCCATGCTGCCGGATTGGCTTGATTTAAAGCACGGGCTCTCTCCTCTAGCGCCTTAATGGCCGCTTGGTTAATCCTTGTCCTTTCCTCATTGTTGAACAATGTCATTAATAACTGCTGGCAATCAGCCCATGTCGGGTTATGTGTCTGAACTATCGAGGTGAACAGATCGGTCATAGCTTGTGGTTTCTCAGTGTATGAGGAATTGTGGGTCTTCCAATTCAAAAGATCGGTAGTCGTGAACGGGACATATACAAAGACTGGGTCAGCATGTGCCATTTGACCTGCGGCATCGATATAGGCTGACCCAGGATTCAGACGAAGAGGCATCTGATAATGTTTTAATTGTTGGGTACCGGTCAGTTGTGGGGTTAGTATGGGGCTACGTGGAGGGGCGTCAGTTAAAGGTTCCGGTCGAGAGGTAATAGGGCATGAGGATGTGGGAACTTGATTTTGGGAAAAGTTAGTGAATAGTATACTCCGAGCCGAGCTAGAAGAAGCTTGACCGGAAGTTTGAAGTGGCGCCAAATCGGGATATTCAGATCTAATGGGGGTTGGTCCTGGTTCCGGAAGGGGAGTTTTAATACGAGGGGGGGTGGATTCTGTACTGGAGGAGGAAGCGGAAGTGGATGGGGGCAATAGGGGAAGGGGTGCAGAGCTTCCTGCATTCGCGTCACTTCCTCTTAAAGGAAAGTAAGGAGGCGGCAAAGGGATCTCGGACTCAGGGAGCGTGTCCAAAATGGGCCTAACACCAGTCCTAGTGGACAAACAAGTCCTGGCCACCATGAGGCGACATTGCTCCTCGTGGCATATCCGGATCCATTTTGGCGAGTCGTTTACGGCCTGCCCCAACAATCAATGTATGGAAACTGTCCGTAAAGTTCAGGCCTACCTGATACAGCCACGTGTACACGCTGTACCAGGGTTGGATCCAAACTGCCACGCGGCGGCCATGCCGCAACCAAAATAGGCCACTCTCTAGTGCACAAAGTGACCAAACGTACAGGAGACATTTTAACCCCAAAATCACATGTTTTGAATCCCTTTTTAAAATTCTTTACCATACAACCTAAGGGATCCGAAATCGTTGACTCCGACGCGCCCATACTTATCAATGGAACGTCGTTGACAACGAATACTATGCACGCGTTCTTATTCAACAGTCACACCCGTTTCCTCTGGCAACAGCACCACGTGGTACAGTTACCGAGTGAAGCGTACACAATAACACAATAATCACTCAGGGAATTCCCGTACACACACAGCTGTTACACCAGTCACTAAATAATCAATATTATGCCCTTTGGCGAAACTATACAGTCACCCACGCTATAATTCTCTATATATGAATTACCCGTCTATAACACACCCCAGTAACATCGTCTTTTACTAGTATCGGTTACAGTGCGGTTAGCATAGGTCAAAGCACAATTTAAGGTCACAATACAATTATTAGTGGTTACGGTGTTAAACATGCAATAGACGACAATGATTAGTACTTATATACAGTGTCAGTAAATATACAGGGTTATGGTACGGTGCACTATGATACAGCAACACACTATTAACACTCTCGCTAGACGGCTGAGCTCGCGCTATCTAACAAGATATACACTTTACTAACAATCTTTAACACATTTACAATCCCAACTAAACTATTGGCCAGTACCTTGAATGGACTACCTAAAACTATATACACCCGTTTTGGTTAGCCACACTGCCCAAACACCACATATAGCGAACTAGAGGGCGAAATTTACAAAATTGCCCTTCTAGTCTATTTACTCTATCAAAGTCTAGTGGGTTCCAAATTTACACGCCTTCCCACTTAGCCAAGATAGGTTGAGAGCTAGCGAACCGAATTTACACAGGCGCCGCTTAGTCTCCAGGTCCCTCCGACCTAGCGAACGTAATATACACCCTAGAACGCTAGTCTAGACAAGACACCGGTGTCCGGCTAGGGCTATTTACACAGGACCCCGCCTGACTAACCAGATCAAACGGTCTTACTAAAGAGCGTTCGATCGAGCGGTGCGCCTTCGCTCCTTCCCTCCGACAGAGGGGCCAGATTCCATACACAGATTTAAACCCCTTTTGGGCCTACCGCACAATCGGTATACCCCTAGTGGGTCTGCCGTCTAAAACAGCAGTTGTCTTACCTCCTCGTTCCTGAACCTGAGTTCACACTCATCGACGAGGACACCCCAGCACTTCTTACGTAGAGGCCGATGATCTCCTGGACAACAGACCAGTGGCGCCGAGACGAAGGGAGGTCCACGCAGAAGTTCAGGGGTGCAGCCGTAGAGAACGTGGGCAAAGATAGACCGTCTCACGCCTCTGCCTCTCAGCCACCGTTGAACGATGAGCTTCCCGGCCAATGCACCAAATGATACCGGAGAAACTGACGGAAGCAAAGCACAGAGGGATGGACACAGGTTTCTTCAGGAAGGAAGAGATTCTTTATTGGATCACCGATCGGGACTCAGAGGGACTAATGTTCACCAAAAATGCAGCAAGTTCTGAGCCCTGAACAATAGTGCAGGCTCCCTATATAGGCACATAACTCCTCCCATATTAAGCTCCACCCGCACATTCTCTTGACCAATCATTACAAATAAGAATTAACTTCCTGCTTGACTGCATGGCTTGTCCAGCACAATGGAGGAGGGGAATACTACATCCTGTATTCTTACACATGCTCCGTACACTACTGATCGTATCTTGCCTCGTGCAACCAACTGATCGATACGTCAGCATATGCACGTACACATGCCACGTGGTAATCTCGGCCTACTAAATTTATTTTTGCGAGATTCACCACAGTCAGGACTCATTGATTATCAGATATAGGGTCACAATACATAATAATAAATCTCCCTCTCTCACCGTGGGACTCGGCGATTATATCAGATATAGGGTCACAATACATAATAATAAATCTCCCTCTCTCGCCGTGGGACTCGGCGATTATATCAGATATAGGGTCACAATACATAATAATAAATCTCCCTCTCTCCCCGTGGGACTCGGCGATTATATCAGATATAGGGTCACAATACATAATAATAAATCTCTCTCTCTCACCGTGGGACTCGGCGATTATATCAGATATAGGGTCACAATACATAATAATAAATCTCCCTCTCTCACCGTGGGACTCGGTGATTATATCAGATATAGGGTCACAATACATAATAATAAATCTCCCTCTCTCACCGTGGGACTCGGTGATTATATCAGATATAGGGTCACAATACATAATAATAAATCTCCCTCTCTCACCGTGGGACTCGGTGATTATATCAGATATAGGGTCACAATACATAATAATAAATCTCCCTCTCTCCCCGTGGGACTCGGTGATTATATCAGATATAGGGTCACAATACATAATAATAAATCTCCCTCTCTCCCCGTGGGACTCGGTGATTATATCAGATATAGGGTCACAATACATAATAATAAATCTCCCTCTCTCACCGTGGGACTCGGTGATTATATCAGATATAGGGTCACAATACATAATAATAAATCTCCCTCTCTCACCGTGGGACTCGGTGATTATATCAGATATAGGGTCACAATACATAATAATAAATCTCCCTCTCTCCCCGTGGGACTCGGTGATTATATCAGATATAGGGTCACAATACATAATAATAAATCTCCCTCTCTCCCCGTGGGACTCGGTGATTATATCAGATATAGGGTCACAATACATAATAATAAATCTCCCTCTCTCACCGTGGGACTCGGTGATTATATCAGATATAGGGTCACAATACATAATAATAAATCTCCCTCTCTCACCGTGGGACTCGGTGATTATATCAGATATAGGGTCACAATACATAATAATAAATCTCCCTCTCTCACCGTGGGACTCGGTGATTATATCAGATATAGGGTCACAATACATAATAATAAATCTCCCTCTCTCACCGTGGGACTCGGCGATTATATCAGATATAGGGTCACAATACATAATAATAAATCTCCCTCTCTCACCGTGGGACTCGGTGATTATATCAGATATAGGGTCACAATACATAATAATAAATCTCCCTCTCTCACCGTGGGACTCGGTGATTATATCAGATATAGGGTCACAATACATAATAATAAATCTCCCTCTCTCCCCGTGGGACTCGGTGATTATATCAGATATAGGGTCACAATACATAATAATAAATCTCCCTCTCTCCCCGTGGGACTCGGTGATTATATCAGATATAGGGTCACAATACATAATAATAAATCTCCCTCTCTCCCCGTGGGACTCGGTGATTATATCAGATATAGGGTCACAATACAGAATAATAAATCTCTCTCTCTCACCGTGGGACTCGGTGATTATATCAGATATAGGGTCACAATACATAATAATAAATCTCTCTCTCTCACCGTGGGACTCGGTGATTATATCAGATATAGGGTCACAATACATAATAATAAATCTCCCTCTCTCACCGTGGGACTCGGTGATTATATCAGATATAGGGTCACAATACATAATAATAAATCTCCCTCTCTCACCGTGGGACTCGGTGATTATATCAGATATAGGGTCACAATACATAATAATAAATCTCCCTCTCTCACCGTGGGACTCGGTGATTATATCAGATATAGGGTCACAATACATAATAATAAATCTCCCTCTCTCACCGTGGGACTCGGTGATTATATCAGATATAGGGTCACAATACATAATAATAAATCTCTCTCTCTCCCCGTGGGACTCGGTGATTATATCAGATATAGGGTCACAATACATAATAATAAATCTCCCTCTCTCACCGTGGGACTCGGTGATTATATCAGATATAGGGTCACAATACATAATAATAAATCTCTCTCTCTCACCGTGGGACTCGGTGATTATATCAGATATAGGGTCACAATACATAATAATAAATCTCCCTCTCTCACCGTGGGACTCGGTGATTATATCAGATATAGGGTCACAATACATAATAATAAATCTCCCTCTCTCCCCGTGGGACTCGGTGATTATATCAGATATAGGGTCACAATACATAATAATAAATCTCCCTCTCTCCCCGTGGGACTCGGTGATTATATCAGATATAGGGTCACAATACATAATAATAAATCTCCCTCTCTCCCCGTGGGACTCGGCGATTATATCAGATATAGGGTCACAATACATAATAATAAATCTCCCTCTCTCCCCGTGGGACTCGGTGATTATATCAGATATAGGGTCACAATACATAATAATAAATCTCCCTCTCTCCCCGTGGGACTCGGTGATTATATCAGATATAGGGTCACAATACATAATAATAAATCTCCCTCTCTCCCCGTGGGACTCGGTGATTATATCAGATATAGGGTCACAATACATAATAATAAATCTCCCTCTCTCCCCGTGGGACTCGGCGATTATATCAGATATAGGGTCACAATACATAATAATAAATCTCCCTCTCTCCCCGTGGGACTCGGTGATTATATCAGATATAGGGTCACAATACATAATAATAAATCTCCCTCTCTCCCCGTGGGACTCGGTGATTATATCAGATATAGGGTCACAATACATAATAATAAATCTCCCTCTCTCACCGTGGGACTCGGTGATTATATCAGATATAGGGTCACAATACATAATAATAAATCTCCCTCTCTCCCCGTGGGACTCGGCGATTATATCAGATATAGGGTCACAATACATAATAATAAATCTCCCTCTCTCCCCGTGGGACTCGGCGATTATATCAGATATAGGGTCACAATACATAATAATAAATCTCCCTCTCTCACCGTGGGACTCGGCGATTATATCAGATATAGGGTCACAATACATAATAATAAATATCCCTCTCTCACCGTGGGACTCGGTGATTATATCAGATATAGGGTCACTAAACAGAATATTAAAGGTGTTATGTACTTGTTTTGCATGCTTTGAGGATTCTGATAAAGCTTTCTGGACAGGAAGGCGGTGTGTTTAGATATTCTGCATGACAAGGTGAGCGATATTTATATAGACTCTAAGTAGGACAAGGTATTTCATTCCTTCATTAAGAGGGTGATAACGTAACGATAATAAATAAGTAAATAAAAATGACAGGTTCGCTTTAATAAAGTGGATTCAGTGCATGCGCGCTTTTCAAACAATGTAACATTTTGATGTTAGAAATAGCTGTGTTTTCACTTCTATAATGGTTATCTTCCGGACAGTAAGTAAAGGCACGTCATGAAATTCTTCACAAATCATTTTCTTCTTTTAAATGGGGAAAAGGCAGTAATCTAAGCACTCTAAATAATACATAAATCTATATTTGTATTGTTGAATAGTTTAGAATCAGGGAGTAGGCTGGGTTGTTCCTCTGAATCCAGATTTATCTTTGTCGTTTTATCGTTATTGGGTGCATGTGATTGTTCCTTTAATTCGGGATCGGACTGCTGTGGGACAGAGATTAGAGCTTCAATTGGGGGATGAAATGATTCCCGGATTGGGTCCTGGGAGGATATAGAAATACAATGTTACAAATATAGATTGAGATTTTATTAGATGACATTTAAATCCTAGGAATAACAGACCACAAGGAAGGAATAGTGCCTTGTTAGTGCAGAGACTGTACACCAGAGGCAGCCTTTCTCTGAGTGATGGAATAATAAACCATTTCTCTGTCATTGCTCCGGGCGTCTGTGTCCTATAGTACAGATGGCAATTAATATTATTATTATAAATAATCTTCCTGTGATTTCTGCTAATGGCTGGCTGAGAGTGTTGGGAATCTAATGCCCAGATATTTGCAGTGCAGAGAGATTTCTCAGTTCTGTGCGTGGATATCCAGGTGACATGTCCATGGCGTGTGCTGTGTTCCATATTTATTATTTATTACTGGCATTTATAGAGCGCCAACAGATTCCTCAGCGCTGTACAATTTGTGGAGAACGTACAATATACACAGACAATTACAAGAGGTAGAGAGAGCCCTGCCCGTAAGCTGATATCTATCCATCTATCCACACAGAGTGCTTAGCTAGATGGCCCATGAGCTTACAATCATATGCAATGTGTATTGTTTCCATAGAGTCACTAGCTTGGCACACTGTCTAAAGTGTGTCGGTTTTATCACCCCAGATCTCCTCATTGTCAGCGTCTCGTTTCCAGCCCCCTTCTGTATCCTCTCTTATGATAAAAGAGTTAATCACAAAAATGAATTTCAAATTTAACGTCAAAATAGGCAAGCTGAAAGCATAGTAATTAGAGAATCTTTCCTGCCCGGCACTGTGTTAATGTGATGTCAGGATTTAGTTAATTATTCCCAGTAATGGGGGGTACAGACAGTGTTAATGTAATGTCAGGATTTAGTTAATAAGCCCCAGTAATGGGAGGTTGGTAACGCTAAGTTTATCATTCGCCTGTCACACAGAACATCCATTTGCTCCAAACAGAGCTCACTGTAATTTAGAGAGAAATTATAATCAAACCATAAATGTAGTTTAATGACTTTACACTTTGTCTAATCTCTGCCGCCAGTAGTATTTCTGGGGAACAGCTGCAGTCCTCTCCATGGCTGATAATACAGGCGTGTGACCTATGTATCTAATGTGAGATATTCCAGATATTCCCCTGTGTAACCCCTTTTCTGCCTGGCGAAGGACTACCATCACACCGGGCACCTCCATCTTGGCGCTGACCATGACAACCAAAGCCTCCGTCATTGGGTGTAAAATGTTGAGATGGTCTTTGCAATGAATAAAGCCGGGAGCTGGGGATATTTCAGAATGATTTCTCCAATTTAACTGCTCTGTGGCACAATTTGTTACATTTATTACATAAAATACTCACATGTAACATATCCCCAGATAGGTTAGATCTGAGCGCACATTATTACCGAATGGCGCTCAGATCTCACACATACAGTTCAATTGCCATGCAGTCAAAGTCTCTTATTACCCGAATAGGCTCCGTGGCATAGCTATCTGGGTTAAAGCCTTCACATAGTTAAAGTCCTGATTGATCCGGCGTTCGGCTAAACGAAGGGAAGGCTGGCGGCTCAGCGGTGTTCACGAGTATAAGTGTCCGTCTTTAGTTCCATGAATTTGGGACTGAATACCGTTGGCCGTGCAGAATGCTGCCCCCCTGTGTTAGTTATGCGCAACCGCGACTACCCGGTAGCAATCAATTAAGCTGCGGTTAACCTCAGCTACTGGGTGGTCAATTGACGGCACACGCCACTTCTGGGAAGCCAATTGAAGACATCTGTAACGGCTACCCTGGTGTAGAGAGGGTACCAGCCGTTAGGGACGTCCTTTTCTTCCTGGCAGTCGCTGTGTAGTGATGGAGTCGCCTATTCCCTTCTGCTGGATCAGGAGTGGAAACCAGATGCAGCTCTGAAAAGAGCTAAGTGATTAAGCTGCAGAGATTCCCCTTTCAAGAACGAGACAAGGCTACGTTTTGAAGGGTCAAGAAGAACTGTCAAAACCTTTATTTCCCTTGGGACCAGCCAATACAGTCATCACAATAACATTGTTGTGAAACCTCAATAAAATCACAAACAGTCAAACCATATCAAGAAACACACAGTGACTTATCACAACACAATGGCACATTTTTAAAGGGGTGGGGGAAGACAATATTTAACAGTAAATATCTCACCTGCCTGCAGAATTAGCAATATGCAAATCTACCCGAATATGCAAATGAACCAGTCTTGCAATTCAGGTAGTGCATATTGCTGTTGCTACCAACAGAGGGCACTAGACCAGCTCCATAGCCAAACCCACCTAGTTGGTAGCAAACCTCAGCAATACAAGAGAGCAGGCAATACATTACACAGTACACACACACACACACTATAAACAATTACATTACACACACCCTGCACCTATAATGGGTACAGGGTGACTAAAACATAGGATAAATAAAGCAGCCCACATAAATAGTCTGTCTGAAGGTAGACTAGGGGCTTTAAAGCCAGATACATGAAAGAGTCATAGTCACAGGGGAGGAGACTAGCAAGTAGGCCTCTCCAGGACCAAGTGGCGAAGGACACTTCATCACAGGCTGTATAATCCATTTGTCCTTTTGTAGGCATACTGGGCTTGTTGTTACAACATCCAAAAGTCCCTGGTGGTCGGCCGTTCATTAGTTTGTTCGGTAGATTGAATCTACCGAATGCCCCGGGCAGATAGGCACGAATAAGCCTTTCTGCAGGGAAAACAGTGTTTTTAACCCCTTAAGGACACATGACATGTGTGACATGTCAGGATTCCCTTTTGTTCCAGAAGTTTGGTCCTTAAGGGGTTAAATGCCGGTCCATAGTCTAAGGGGAGCAGGCGGGCAACCTGGCTCCTCCAATGCACAGTGGCGAGGTTGGTTCCGCCACATTTCTTCCCTTTACCAATCAGACTAGCAGGGTATCTGACCTCCTGTCGGTCAGTGCCCTAGTTAGTCCAGCAACCCACCCACAGAACACAATTAGCATTACAGCCCACCCACAATAAAGGGTTACTACACCTGGGGAAATGAGTAGCTTGCCTTTGTCCAGGTGCTTCACTACTTCTGTGTGGGGTGCTGCTATTACGGGTCGGTGGGTTGCTGAGTGGGCAGAGACCAGCGGTACTCTGCCCTGGTGCCAGCGCGATGACGGGAGTAGCCTGGTTGGAGCCCCGCTGAGGATCTGGTGCTGCTGCTGTAGGGGTAGACCGACTGTCTCCCCTTTGGGCAACCAGCCCTGCTGCTGGGGGACAGGACCATCCATCCCTACCCCCTGTGGTTTGGGCACAGAGACTACAGTCCCATCTGCACCGGTGTAGGGCTTATTATCTCCCCTTGGTGGGCTAGGCTGCCACTGGGGAGAGGGGGTAACAAGCTCCTCTCCCATACCCACTTTCAGCTGCTGGGGAGAGGGGATAACAAGCTCTTCTCCCTGACACTCTTTCTGCTGGTGGAGAGGGGAAACGACCATCTCTGCTCCCTGCAGGACACACCGCCGCTGGTGAGGAAGGACGACACCTTCGGCTTCCTGTAACACACACTGCCGCTGGGGAGGAAGGATGGCACCTTCGGCTCCCTGGGACTCACTTGACTGCTGGGGAGAGGGACCAACTGTCTCCTCTCCTAAGGACACACACTGCCGCTGGGGAGGAAGGACAGTACCTTCGGCTCCCTGTAACACCCACTGCCGCTGGGGAGGAAGGACGGCACCTTCGGCTCCCTGTAGCACACACTGCCGCTGGGGAGGAAGGACGGCACCTTCGACTCCCTGGGACTCACTGGACTGCTGGGGAGAGGGACCAACTGTCTCCTCTCCTAAGGACACACACTGCCGCTGGGGAGGAAGGACGACACCTTCAGCTCCCTGTAACACTCACTGCCGCTGGGGAGGAAGGACGGCACCTTTGTCTCCCTGTAATTCCATTGACTGCTGGGGAGAGGGACCAACTGTCTCCTCTCCTAAGGACGCAAACTGTCGCTGGGGAGGAAGGACGGCACCTTCAGCTCCCTGGGACTCACACTGCCGCTGTAACTCACTCGGCCGCTCGGGTCTCTCCCCCCTGGCCAACTCTGCTAGGAATTGCAGGTACTCTCTTATTATTTTCTTGACGTGCTGCACGGATCTCTCCGAGGGGTTGGGTCCATAGACAGCCAGCACCGCATTAACCTCTCTGTCAAGCTGCTCCTGAGTGTAGCCGGGCGCCATGCTCTGCCGAAGTAGGTTCCTTTATAGATAGGGGTGGTGTACGGGTACTAGCGTTGCCCTCAATTTGTGATCCATGAACTGGTGTTGTCTTGTAGCTGTACTTCTGGGTTGTGGGAATGATCCCACTTCTGCCACTAATTATAACGGACCGTTTTGGACACAAGAGGTT